CGAGCAGACAGAGAAGTGATGAAACAGCTGGAAGAAAGTTATCACAACCCAATCATTGTCATGATAGGAGAGGTTAAGCTGCTAGAATACATGAAAATGATATCAGGCTGGAACTACAAAAAAGCAGACTGTGACCTCTAAAACAACTTAACTAAAAAGAAACTATCAGAGCCCTTTCCAACCAAAAGTGCTAGGGAAAAAAAACCATTATCATACTTGAAGCAGTACAAAAATCAGTCAAGGATGTCGAAAGCAAACAAGAGCCACAACAGCCGCAAAAATAAAGCACAGAAGCAAGAGTACAAATGGAACAAGATGGCAGGAAAAGACAGCAGCTCTCAACAGGGAGAAAGCCAGTTAAAAAAAAAAAAAGATGGCATCTAACAAAAAGTCTAAATGAGGAGAATCATACCAGCCATGCTAACACTGTCATGAAGATGGTGGGAAAAATTTCACTGGTAAACAAGCAGCAAACCTGCTGGCCAGTATTTTGCCGAGGAAAGCAGAATCTTCACATCTAGAGCAAGAGAAGAAGTGATGAGAACATTGAGGAAAACCAATAAAAAGCAAGACAATAACCAATGAATAAACTCTCCAGTCCCCAAGAGCTTGAATGCGCATTAGGGAAACTTAAGAAAAGAAAGGCACCTGGAACTGATGGAATCACAAATAAAATGATAGTACACTTGGGACCAGCTGGTCGGCAACAACTCTTAGATCTTGTCAATCAATCCTGGACCCAAGAACTACTTCCAAAGGAATGGAAGGAGGCATAAATAGTCCCTATAACCAAGAAAGGGAAGCCCAAAAAAACAAGTTATTGGATGACAGCCAGTCAGGCTTCAGGAAATACAGAAGCACTGATGACTAAACATATCGCACAAGAAATTGAGGACGCTTTTCAGAAAAACAAAAACAAAACTTCTACTACTTTCTTTGACCTGACCAAAGCCTTCGACAGGGTCTGGAAGAAAGGATAGCACAGTGGGATAAAAGGGCATATGTTAGCCTGGATTAGAGACATTCTATATAGACACTGTGCAAGAGTCAGACTAGAAGAACACAAGAGCAAGTTGGTGGTCAGACTACAAGAAGGTGTCCCTCATAGAGGTGTTATATCTCCTACCCTATTTATTCTTTTCATCAATGACTGCTCACATTCACAGGGTTCTATATGCGGATGACCTGGCCATATGGACCCAAGCTGAACATACAGGAACAAATAAAACAAGAATGCAAGAAGCTACAAATACAAAAGAGCTTGCTAAAATATTACCTAGAACCTGTTCTCCTGTATGGCAGCAAATCTAGGAATGTCAATGAACAAATTAAGAAGAATTTGAAAGCAACAGAGATGTCATTTCTGAAACGAATGTTACAAATACCTTGGACAGCTAGAGTAACTAACAACAATAGTTTGAAAGAAGCTAATGAAAGTAGATCTCTATATGCAACTATAAGACAGAGACAAAAACTGTTCTTTGGCCATGTAATGAGAAGAATGACATTGGAGAATGCAACACCTGGAAAGATCAGGGGGAAAAGGGGTAGAGGCAGACCAAGAGAGATGATGCTGGATGGGCTGAAACAATGGCATGGAGGGATATCATCAAGAGAGTTGTTTCAGGCAACCAAAATCTGTGGAGAAGCATGAGCACCTATGCCAGTTGGCAGGGCACACTTTTGCTAAATAAACGTAACATTTTTTGTAGATAAACACCACTGATACGTGACAGATGAATGTCTACAAGGGTCACATTTTAAGACAGAAATGTGTACCCAGTTTGTGACAGGTGAATTTTTGTTCATACCTTCTTCCAAGAAAAATTGCCCAATACTTACTTTAGATGCAGCCTTCATAAGCAAGTATGTACTTTGAATGTATGTGTATTTTCTTCTTTTCTCCTTTACCTTTACCAGCTGTAAACTCCGGCAGAAATTTCCGCTTGTTTGTCCACTTCTGGACTCTAGTCCTGTTCCAGTAACTGAGTGTTGCGTGCCTATCTGTTTTACAGATCTGATTCATTTGTATGCAGACTGTTTGTTCTTTGCCTCTCAGGCAGATGCACTCCGACTTTGAACAAAACACCCAGTAAGTTGATTCTTATATGATATGCATTTGGGGCAAGCGGTGGGTCTGTTCTTGTTTTCCCTACAACAGGGTCTTGGAACCCAGAAAGAAAGTGTATGTTTGGACGTACGTGTATGCATGTAAGTCAATGTGTATATGCATTTGTGAAAACACTTAGAGAAGAGATGCAGAGGGAGACCCAGAGAGATGATGCTGAATAGTCTGACAAGATAGTATGGAGGATCCTCTGTGTCAGAGCTGACTGAAAGTACAAAACACATGACTACCAATTCCAAATGGCATAAACTTTTAAGAAGGAGAAGAAGAAAACACTTGATGCTAGAGAAATAAAATCATCCTTGAACTTCATGTTTGGGTAAAGATACATACCAAGACTAACAAGGTCATAATATGAATGAGCGCATGTCCATCTGGGATTAGATCTAAGTTGGCAGTGTTGTTTCCAAAATTTGTAAATATATATGTCCTTATAAAACTCTAACACCCAGAGGGAATATCACTGGAATTTTAATGACTAGCAGTTTCATGACACTTAATCATGTGTACAAACCCACTGGCAAATAACAGTGCTATAAGTGATAACATTTAATACATACCACAAACAGAAACAAATAACGAAAAGATAGGTCACACAAAGAAGGCAGTCTAAATACTTTGGAAGCAGCTCAAGTTTTTTTTTTTAAATGATCAGCACTGAATAAATCTGTTTTAAAATGTATTTTACAACTTGTTGTTGCAAGAACTGAAGTACAATATGCACTCTCTAGACATTGTACGAGGGAAAGTCAAAAAATTATCCACACTTTTGACATAACTCTTCGTACATTGTCCACACTGACTTCTGTCCTCTCTTATTTTAATGTTATGCTGTCCTGTTGTGGTAATGCTATGAAGGTCTGGTGATAATTATGCAATTTTTCTTCCTTCTGCTGCAAATAGATAGATCATGGCCTTCCTGTTGGAAATTTGCACCAAAGAGAACAAGGAGCATTTATATGATTCCTCTGGTCAGTGTGTGTCAAAGGTTATGAAATTCACCGTAGACTATCTGGGAGAAGTGCACTATGGCATAAAACTGTCTTTTTGTGGATTGCAAAGTTTAAAAGTGGTTGAACAAGTGTAATGCATGAAGAATTCGTCGATTTGCATGTCTTAGTGCAAAAGTGAGTTTGTTGACTGTTAGGCAAAGTGCATTGATAAGGAGGGAGATTATGTAGAAAAATTATGAGCATGGTGAAACCCTAGCTTTATGTAAATAAATTGTAGAATGAAACGTGTAGATAATTTCTGACTCCCTCATAAACCAGAGACTACATTCAAACAGAAATCACTCTCATGCAATTCAACGATAAATTAGTCATCAACTCATAAAATGCAAAATTATTATAATAAGTCCTCTGACATGGTGCATAAACAATCTTGCTTCTACATATCTCAGGATATCGAACAGACTATATGCAAGATTTGGAAACATCAGTAATACAGAATGTAACAGTTTTTTTTTTTTATATAAACAAGTTGTAGAAGAATTATGTGCATCAGCAATAAAAAACACATAGAAAACCCATTGTTTGTGTCTGGGAGAAAATAACTGAATACAGAGACCAACATGGCCTAATTCTATGAATACTGCCATGTGCGTGATTTATAGTTTAGAATCAAGCTATGTATTTTTAATTCTAATATTATTTTAATTTTAACATATGCCATTGAAAGCTGGAAAAACCACTAAAGATATGGAATGAAAGTTAAATGAAACTGAAAACAAATGCCTGAGGAAAATGATTAGCATAAAAGGGGAGGAATTCAAGAAGAAAAGCGACAAAATATGACAATATGGCAGTGAATATGTATGATGGCTTGGTTTAGTCATTTATCCCTTTCAAAGGCCTCTCTTTAGGCAACAGTTAAAGAAGTACAACATTCCTGCAACAAATGCATATTTCAGTGTATTTCTGGGCTTCTTGCATGCATCTGGGGAGTCATAAGATCAGGTTTACAACAATGACATCCCTACAAATTCTGCCTGGATATGTGTTGATTTGATTAATAGGAAAATAATATAAATTTCTTTCATTCGTGCAAGAAAGGAGAAATAATGAACATTTGTTTTTAGTAATTTAAAAAAATCAACCCAACTAAAGACCATAGTCGGCACACAAAAGAAGCTGGTTCACTGTTGGTTCACTCATACAACAAAATATCTCGACAAGCGACAGTGAAATATATATTAATGACGATTATTGATGAAGAATCAATGTCACTGCATTCAAAACTAGACTATAGGTGCTCAGTCTCTTCCTGCAGAAGCTGCAATGTGGGGATGCAGATTGTCCTTGTAATAACTAGCTAAATAAACCCTGAATCTGTTAGGTATGCGACCAAGCAAACCAACTCCACACTCTATCAGCTATAACTGATAATAAACTATTTAGATTATAATACTATAAAATAACATGCATCATCAATAGTTGCAGACTAAAGCATTAAGAGTGAGAAAAAACAGAACCAAATCTCATAGTCAACTCCTATGTACTGCTAATTGTTATGTCATTAGTAGTGCAGTATATGTGCGAGTATAAATGAGAGTGTATGAATCATTATGAATGACTGGGTGTGTAGTATGTATGCATATGTGTATACATGTATTTATGTATGTATATGTGTGTATTATTTGAGAATGTATGTATGTGTGTGAGTGAGTGAATGCGAGCATGCATTTACCATTCATGCTTTTGTGTTTTTTCCTTGATATTCATATTATGCACTTTGCTATATGAACATAATATGCTTTATTGATAACATACAATTTCTGTGTGAAAGATGAGTGTTTGGAAAAGCCGAATGTAGGACAGGTCTGAGTGCCCAATTTGTGACCCTTTGAAAATAAAGTTTGTTCATTTGTTCGTTATTGGAATATAGCTTTCTTCACATGAATCTGCATATGACGTTTCAGTTTAGTTCTTTCAGCTGTGGTATAATCACATAACACACACTGAATGGCCTTAACTACCACACCGTGGGTCACCATATGTTTCTTCAGGTTCTCGACAGATTTGCCAGCATAAGGACACTTTTTGCAAGCGAAAGGTTTCGCATCACTGTGCACATAAGCTATATGATTGTTGAGCCTAGGCTGAAACTTGCACTTATAACTGCAAAAGGGACATGACACTGGCTTTTCATCAGAGTGTCTGTGGGAGTAATGCTTGTGCAAGTCATACTTTTCCACACAGGAGTAGCTGCACAAACTACATGCAAACTTCTTGATGTTTTCATGTCTTTCCATGTGTCTTCGATATGAAGCTTTCAATCTACACATGTATCCACACTGAGAACAGGTGTAAGAGAATTTACCAAAGTGGGACTGCAGATGGACTCTGAGATCAGTTACGGTCTCACCTGAGAAGTCACAATACGAACAGAAATGTATCCTATCACTTTTATGAACTGACAAAGCATGCTTCTTTAGTTCTGCAGCTCTCTCAAATTCAATGTTACACTCTTGACATTTATACAAGGGTTTAAGCACATGCTCCTGCGACTTGTGCTGCCGCAGTACAACTTTATCATGTGTTGTAAACTTGCACACAGAGCACACATATTTGTTGGGCGCCTGGTGAATCTGCATGTGTCGTTTCAAACTCATAGCAGTCTTGCAGGCAAAGTTACAGAGCGAGCACAGGAAATTTTTGTCATTTGAATGCTTAACAAGATGTCTCTTTAGCTGATCTTTACTGCGACATTTGTAGGAGCACAGGTCGCAAGTTACTCTTTTAACAGGATCATGAATTATCATATGAGTGCTTAAATTTGTGGCAGTTTTTGCTTTAAAGCCACACTCACTGCACAAGAAGGGACGCTCTTCAGTGTGTGTCCGTTTTAAATGTTGACGGATATCTTTAGTAGCAGTTCCACAAATTGGACAAAGAGTCCGCTTATCTTCCTCATGAGCAGGAGAAGAAATATGAGTGTCCAGAACCTCCTGAGTCAAACAAGAGAAGGGACACTGTTGGCACAACAGGTAGTTTTCATCTGGATGTAAAGACTTTATGTGTCTGCTTAGCTGGGATTGCCTCTGATACTTGAAGTCACACAAGGGACAAGAGAAAAACTTCATCACTTTGCGAATAAATCCAGGGTCAAACTTAGAAAACTGAGACTTTGCTTTTATTGAATGAGCAATTTTATGAACTTCCAAGCTTAGCTCCACCCTAAAGGCTTTCCCACAATGGCGACAAACAAAGGGTGATGCTTCCTTATGTTCAGATCCTCTGTGTCTCTGCAGCTCCAACTCTACACTTGACTCAAAGCTACATTTGTCACAGGCATATTTGTTATCTCTACCTTCTTCATCTGATGTATCAAAGGCAGCCACCTCTGCTTTAAATGGTACAATACTTTCATCTTTAAAGACAATATCTTGCACAGGATAAGATAAATTAGCAGAACACGGTTTATTAACGGATTCAGTAATTTCTGTCAAAAGTTCACCTTTAACTTCTTTCAAGATTATATTCCCACTGCTTAATTCCTCATTTACTCCTGTCATCTCTACATCAAGATCTGATTTAATGCTGTCTAAATGCTTGTTTTCTTCGATTAGTGGATCAAAAGCATTACATTCAATGTCATTTTCGTTATCAATTTTGAATGTAGGCATAGATATAAACTCAGAGTCCAAGTGGGAACTGGTGTCTACTACAATCTGATCAGCTAAATATTCACCAGGCGTTCCTGATTGCTGATCAACAAGCAGATTCTGTTTTGCTGCATTTTTACGCAGGCTAGTTTGTGCTGATAATTCTTCAAGTGTTCGTGCTAGTAGTTCTGGAGTCAGCTCAGCCCCATCATAATTGTAAATTATTATAACATCGCCTTCAGTTTCTTCTCCGCTCTCCCGATATTCAATGTGAAGCTGCACTGTCTCATCCAAGTGTTCTGCCATGTTGCTGATTGTTCAGCTCAGTCTCTCCTTCTCTTCATCAAAACTGATTAGGAATATAATGCACAGATGGCATCATGCATCAAACAACATTCCTTCGGAAAAAAAGAAAAGAAAAAGATAGCAATGGGTATCAAATATTCAGAACAGGTTAAGATGTTAAGCAGATACCTTAAGCATAAAATTGTTTCGTTAGACATAGCTAGTTCATATTTACAGTGGAAAGTTATGGTTGCTCATCACTTCCAGACCTTAGTCTTGTTCACTTGAGTTATGCAAGCATATCCACTTGATACATCTGGCTCAGTTGTATAAAGACTGTTGGTTCCTTGCCTCTCAGGCAGATGCACTTTGATTTCAAAGGAAACACATTTTTGGGGGTTTAATTCACATTATCTCAGGGAATCCAAAATCCAAGAATTTGTGGAAAGTTCCCAGAAAAGTAAAATAGTTTAGGGTGTTAAGGTGAGAAATGAACAGCAACTAACATTGACACCTCCCCCCCCCCCTCACCGCCCAAAAAAAACCAGACTTTCTCTGGAAGTCCCCAAGAAATCGTGGAGTTCCCGAGATTGGGTGAACTAAAATAAAAAGTACTAGAAATACCCCTCATTACTTTACTTTTATGACATTCTTGTTAGGGGACAGCAGGTCTATTTCCCACCCCACCCCCACCTCAAATCCATAACCCGGGCAGGATAGCAGTTAATTTTAACTGTGTCAACTGCCACTATTTGATTTGAAAATCATCCAATGTGGCTGGAAAAATGTTTTACGTGGTTTGGGAAAAAAAAAATCCAGTCTGATGTGAAAACTGCCCTGTGTGGTTTGAAAAACATCTGAGTTGGTTGAAAATTGTCCAGTTTAAAGTATAAACCGTATGTAAGGGGTTGGGTATGCTTGCGTGTGCATGCGCACATACATATATATAGTAAAACCTACATAAAAAGTATTTCAAGGGGTCAAATGTTTAAGTTTATTTTAGAAAAAAAAATATGTTCCAACTGGGGACTAAGCTAATAATATTAATATATCTTTAATGCTAGGACCAAAAGTGTATGTTTGTTAATCTAGAGTTCTTAACTCTGTGAGTCCCAAGGAATACACCATGTGCTGCTTGGTAACTACCCAGGAGCCCAAATGGCATGTGTTCAGATTTTAAAATTAATACTGACACCAAAAAATTTGAAAAAAACATGAGCTGGACAATTAAAACTTCCCTTCCAGTTCTTTGTGTTAATTAACACACATAGTGACCATTAGGATTGTTTGAAAATGTGGTTAAAAGCCTAAAATATAGTATGTTTGTGAGGTTTACCGAGTTACTAGGCGTTTGTTTGGAAAAAATATGACAGCCGAGCAGTCTTCACATGTATATCAAGAATTTAATCCAGTGAACTGTGACTAAACAGCTTAACGAAATGGGGAAGCAAAACAACGTGCGAAACGCAACACAAATCGACATTTTAACCGGGGCCTTTCTTGACATGAACTGAACTACACAATAATAGCAAAGAGAAGACTACTCCAACCACCGAAGGGTCACATGACAAACTATAGAAAAGGTGATGTGGAATTAATAAAATAAAATATAGGAAGTCTAGAAAGATAGTCGTAAAAGTAATAGTAGTAAAATATAATAATATAATAATAGCCCGTTGTTTTGCTTCCTCATTTTGCTAAGCTTTTTAGTCACAGTTCACTGGATAATTTCTTGGTATTAGCTTGACTGCAGTCACCCCTATTTTCACCACTACATGTACATGTATACCAACATGATTTACACTTTTAGAAACCTCAATTTTAAATAAAACATGTTTATTAGATTTATCTGATGTTAGATGGAGAAGAAAGTTGTGAAGTAGACTTGTTTCAGCCATTTACAGTCAAAATTTGATAAAGGATAGCCCTAATAATAAATACCTCAAACAAACTGCAAGGTGTACAATGATAACAAAGTCAGCTGGTACAAAGGGATTAAATATAAGTAAAAATGGGTGATTTTTTTCAGTGTCAGTTAATTCTAGTGCTTATCCCCTTTTTATTTAGGAAAATAGCTAAACAATTTCATGCAAATTGAGTGTTATATAAATTTGTGTGTGTGATAAAATACTAAGTGTTTAGGGAAGTCATTTCTCTTCACCAAATAATGGTGCTCACTGGACAGTTGTAAATTAAAAACTGTAACGCATCACTCACCGACTGGCAGCCTGGGTAGTAAATGATGTGTTGCGTTCCATGGAACTCAAAGAGTTACTTCAGCTATGGTCATGCAATGAAAAAGAAGGAGGCACTGGAGAACATCCAACATCGTGATAATCTGGAAGATTATGACAGACCAACAAAAGCAATGATCAATGGCCTGAATCACATTTACGCTGAATTTGATGTCACGAAGGAAAATTCAGCTGCTTATTTGTTGAAAATAATAAGGGTTTTTAGTCAAAATTTATATATTGGGTTTTTTGCTTTTAAACCATGACAGCTAGATAGAGGTCATTTTAAATAATCAAGGACCGAGATTTGTGGAGAGAGATATGAATATCAGGCTCTCCTCCAAACTTCAACCCAAAATTATGGTGGCCATAAAATATCCTTACGGGGCTCGGGCATATGTAAAATGCGGACTGTCTGCCAAGAAACAAATTGCTGCAAAACTAGGATTACTTGATGTACGGCGATATTGTGTTCATTAAATTATTATGTGAAATGTAGTCCTGGGTCCATGCCGTACCAAGTCCAAGTAACTTATTACTCTAGGGGTAACAAATGTCAAAACCAACGACCGGCAGAAAAACGCCACCAATAAGGTCAACTGTTGAAACTTCTACATTTGAGAATACGTCATTGAGTTGACAGACAATACCAATACGTTTATTCAACAATTATCCACAGATAAATTGTGTCTCCATGAAGTCAATATATTACAATCACTGTACTCAAGGCCGGTAAGATAATTACTTTGCGCCAACATGGAGCTCAGAGACTTTGCTCTCCCGCAAACTGTGGCATCAGGACAACGGTAGGATAATTCCTTTCCTCCAAAATGGAGCTCAGAGACTTTGCTCTCCGGCGAACTGCGGCATCAGGACAAATAAATACAAGCCTCTGCTCGTCCTACTTTTCTTGTAACTGTCTTCTGTCCAGTTCTTCTGTCCGCAAGTGTCGTCGTGTCTCTCGTCATATCTCATGTTCATTAGCGGTCGTCATTAGTGTGAATCTTCGGATTGCACACAACACTTGACAATTTCAAGAGATGCAATATTGCAGTCAGTAGTAGCAGACGATAATAGCTACCGTTGACAATTTTGAGCGTTTCTGCAGACGATACTAGCATGCGCAAAACGCGATTAAACTCACCGCCAAGCGTATCGCCCGCGCTGCTACATGCGGCGTGGATGGGAGGGGGCGGGGCTTAACTAGGTGCCTGGGACCCACGAGCAAATTAATTTGAGGAAGTTGCAGGAGATGCGGTAGCTACTGCTTGTGAGTCCCAGCCATCTAGTTTAGCCTCCCATCCGCGCCGCGTGTAGCGGCGCGGGGGATATGCTCGGCGGTGAGGCATAGTCACAGAAACAGGTCCGCAAGTAACATATCGCTAAGACCCTGTTAGAGCATTTGTTTCGTTATACGGAGCCGGTATATTTTTAATAGAGCTAAGCCCCGTAAGGATATTTTATGGCCGCCATAATATCGGGTTAAAGTTCGGAGGAGAGCCTGAATATATATATATATAATATCATACTCAGTATTCAGTATGACTGCTAATTAAGCAGAGCGGCCTGACAGGGCAAATGATGATAACTATATGATATACATTTACAAAGCTTATATTATATTGTACTGGATAGGATTACAGAACTGGAACTGATTATAAACTAATAAATCAATTTAAAATATAGTAGTAATAGTAATACTTTATATTGTTCAGACTGACAAATCGGATATCAGAAAATACATACCCGTCTCCACTACAATATATAATGAACGGAGACGCCAGACAGAACCACTGAAGGAAAACATCAATCAACTGAGCTGTTCAGTTTAGAAAAGTCAATGCGTGGTTTTGTTTCGAGCTAAAGCTACGGCATTTCATATAGTTGCCTCTGTCTGCAATCAACACATTCACACAATACTATAAAATAGTTCCATATAAACACTAGTAAAATTAAGTCACGGAACTTAATGTTTTGCCGTTATTTCTGAATGTTTTGACAACAACCGCCCGGAAAAGCGCCAATTTTCCCGTAGACGTAGTTGAAACTCACCATGGACGATGGACGGAGTCACGCCCTTGCGCATGTCCAAAGTCTCCAGATTTTTTTTGTCTAGCAAGGTAGTAGTAATTTTTCTAGAATATCCTGTTAAGCCCTGATGATATAATTGGGATATAGAGTGTTAGTTGAGTTCTCATAGTACATATTTGTTATATTAAATTTACATATTATGTAATTACCCATATTACCTAAATGTAGTCTGCATAGTTCAATATTTTGCTTTGTTAAAGGGGGGGGTGGGGTGGGGTTAAAACTAATATAAATGTTTACCCTTTCGGCGGTGGTCTCAATTCGCTAAGCATTCCTTTAGCAAAGCAAAGAAGATTGAAGGAATAGATTAAATATATGCAGTACTTGAAAAATGATAAAAGTGTCTCCACTTTGACGTGGTAGGGCAGTTTGCGCTCCCTTTTGACCAAGAGAGCTTTGACAGCGGTATCGAAGCTACAAGACAAACAGGGGAAAAGGGTAGATAGAGGACACCCTGGTCCTCCAGTCTGGGAGTTGAAGAACGGGATAGACACCCCCCACCTTCATAGTATTGTAATTCGTTACGAGCTCTAATCTGGTAAGACCAAGATTACAATTTAATATCATATAATATGCCGACATAACAGATTGTCTTATAGGACTCTGATACCTGGGGCACAACTAATTGAGAAGAAGCCTTCTTATAAATATCTGTAAACATTCTTACGGCAAATCTTAGGACCAATAAAAGAGGCAGTCAGTGGGGAATGGGGAAGCAACACGAAAATTAATAATATATTTACATTATCACTGATCGCTAGGATCTTGAGGGCTAATATAAAAAAAAAATGACAGGTGGTGTAACCCTCAGGGGCTCAGAAGAAGAAGAAGAAGAAGAAGAAGAAGAAGAAGAAGAAGAAGAAGAAGAAGAAGAAGAAGAAGAAGAAGAAGAAGAAGAAGAAGAAGAAGAAGAAGAAGAAGAAGAAGAAGAAGAAGAAGAAGAAGAAGAAGAAGAAGAAGAAGAAGAACGATTAGGAAGTCTTCATTTGTTTGTATAACACAAACAGACAAGGGTGGAGCTACATAAAAAAATTACAAAAGAAAAAAAATACAAAGCCTATCATCTATAAAGACACAGATTCACGAAGATAGCTGTCCACCCTCATCAGAAAGAGACAATCTAACAATCTGCCCTCTTAGATCATATTATGCGAAGGAGAAAACTAGAGTACATAGTGACGGTGCGAAAGCTGGAGGTGAAAAGTGGCTGATCGAGACCGAGAGAAAAGATGCTGGACAATTTAACATCATAGCATGGAAGACCACATGTGTCAGAGCAGACTGAAAGTAGAAGATTGTTGAGTAAAAGAAAAACATCTTTGCATAGTTTTTCAGTGAAGGCACGCCAATACTGTTTACAAAAGCTGAGGAGAAATTACATTAAAGAACGGGCAGACACCTAGACCAGACAATATCCCACTGGAAGAAACTGGAGCGTTAGGGGACATTGGATTTGAAATAACAACAAAGTTTTTAAATGACGTTTATAAAAGTGGGTGCATTCTTTACCCATTGCCAGAGAAAACAGTTCATAAGCACAAGTCTACATACATCTAACCTATCGAGGGGATGACGTTATGAAACGGCTATACGACCGGCTAAAAACAGCAGTCAGCCAAACTTTCTACGCCGCTTTGCCAATTAGCAGGGTTAAAACACGTCCAGCTGTATCTAAAGATGGCCGTGGTTTAAAACTACCCCCTGCCAACGCCCCAGTGTCGACTTACGCCAAATCAAATTATATCTACTAATTTAAATGTAGCTGTGAAGCTGCTTATGTGGGCAGAACTGATCGACGCCTGGAGAAACGAGTCGCTGAGCACATTCCAGTATGGGTGGGAAAAGCCATGCAAAATAATATTCAAAATAAGAATACTGGTCGCAAAGATCACCCCTCTGCAATAGCACGCCATCTTCTAAAATCTGGACACGTTGTGACTAGATGCAATGCATTTCAAATCCTGCGTCACCTGCTCCCGGAACTCTGTATTCAGAAAGAGATGGTTCAGTCTTTACGGCTGCCCTGCTAAAAACAGGCAGTCATGTTTGATCATTGTCGAAATTGTACTTCAGTTATAAAGGATTAACTTATGTGCTTCATTTATGTAATTGTTACTGTAGTATGCCCCTGACGAGATATCGCGAAATATGCCAGGCAATAAATTGTGCAATCTATTGTTTGTGTCTTATTTGTTCAAATTTACAACGGGGAAACATTGTTTTGAAGTTCATAAGTTATGAAAAGACAAATAAATTTAAAACAAACAACGTATCAAGCAGAAAAGTAAAATTTTTTTTATTCATTTGGGCAGTAATTTTAATAGTGAAGTAAATACCAAAAAAAAAAAAAAAAAAAAAATACACGCATTCGCAAGGTATCAGCGGCTTTTAATAGCTTGAACAAAATATGGAACTCTCAATTGTATATTTTTTAAACCAAGTTACGTATTTTCAATTCCTATCTTATTTTAGATTTAACATGCAAATGAAAGTTGGAGAACCACTAGAGACACGGAAAGAAAGCTAAATGCATCCCAAAAACAAATGTCTGAGTAGCGAATAAATAAGAGAAATGTATGAGCAACCACTGGTATCAACAGTTATAAGTCAGAGGAGATGGCACTACATTGGATACACCCTGAGAAGAAACCAGCAGAGAATCACCGCCAAACAGGCAAGGGAAAATAAAGGGATTAAAGGAGGCCAGAACGCCCGAAGGAAACCCCAAGACGGACGTTGATGAGAGAGCCATAAGCTACTGGAATTGATTCCAGCCATGATATTGAACTGATTGCACAGGATATTGCCTACGGAAATGGAGGAATAGACTGCGAGCACTATGTGACATATAATGGCACAACAGGATAATGAATGAATGAACGGAAAAGAAAACAGGTGCTTTTGAAGATCGTCGCACAATAAGTCTTTTTGGTCATGTGACAAAAATGTTACTGAGAATAAAAAGAGAATAATAATAATAAACAAGAACAAACCAAAAATCACTAAAGAAAATGTGATTGTGGATTGAAAAGGTGTAAACAATTCCATCAAATTCTCAGATCACTGTCGTGAAAAGGTGTAGAAATAAAAACGGATCTGTACTTTGGCTTTATAGAAAATTTGAAATCATCTACTGGCTCCAGGAACTCATCTGTATGCTAAAGATTCTTTGGAAAAAAAAAAAAAAACAACATATATCTGGAATTTGCAAATAATTATAAAGTACTGTATGGACACTGTATATTTTACTATGCTTATAACTTCCTAATTATGCCATACAATGTCTTTAAATATAGACATGAAATTGAGCAAAGACTAACGCAAAAAAATTAAGAAAAAATAATCCAAAAACCCCCCCCCCCCCTCCAGCCCTGTTAGCATTGGCACCAAAAAATATAGTTTTGTCCTGGGTGAAAATGCCTCATCTACGCCCCTATTCAGTAACGCATGTTTGATCAGTGACTCAACGAGCATGGTACAGAAGATAAATACGGGGCATAAACGAAAGTAAATAAAAATAAACGAAAGCAGTGGCTCCATCTGATACAGCATGCAGCGTTTCGCAAAATCACCATCATTTTTGTCCCAGGGAATGCTGGTGTGAGAGGCGAAACTTTCCATTATTATTGACTGACTGACTTTCTACCCCACCAGGACATCACACAAGCGATAAACACCCGATGACACAATGTGCCACCACGTGGGTGAGGATAACCGTGGAGAATTCCCAGAAACCGCGTTCAGCCTTTAGGCCATATTTATGGCCAGGCTATATTGCGGCCTCTGGCCAAGCCAGAGTTGGGCTTCAAATAACGAAAAATTTCATCCTAAAAAGGACCAGAAGGGATTAGCGCCGTCCTAATATTATATGCATTTTTTGGGGGTTCTTTTAAAGCCCCATCCCGGCTGTCGTCGGGGGCCCTAATATAATCCACCGCCTTCTTTAAATAGAGAAGGCCGTGTACACGTGTATAATATAACAGCTGGATGGAATTTCTAGAACTTGCATCTGGGGAATTATTCGCTCTCTAACTGCCTTCTCCGTGTTTTTTTTTTTTTTTTGCCTTCCTTTATTTCTATGCCCCTGTGGGTTCTGTGCGAAGACATTATATCGTTTTAATGTTTTCCTAATGTGTGTCCTATCCAACGCCACTTGTTTAGTTCTCTCCCAGAGCTCTACATTAGTGATTCTATCTCAACATTTAATTCCCTCTATACTGAGCAGGCGCCTGTTAATGAATGTTTGTAGTTTATTATTGATTGCCTTAGTTGTTCTCTCTGTTTCTGCTCCACGCAACCGTATTGACTTGATATTAAAGATTTTTAGTTTAGTAATAGTTTTGATTTCTTTTGACCTCCGCAAATTTTCTAGTGCTTTGAAAGCTCCTCTTGCCTTTTGTATCTGTATTTTAATATCTCTTATTAGTCGCCTTATCGGCGTCAGGGCTGGGGCGGTGCGAACGCGCTTCGTTATGTCCAGGTACCGGGTTCAGATGCAGCTGCGGTCGGTTTGTCTTGCGTTAAGTTCGACAGTGGTGCCGAGAGCTGACCGTTCATACAATGGCAAACTACTAAACGTAAAATTTGCCTAGAAAAACCAGAACAACTAAAGAAAAAAAAAATGCTGGTGTTGGTTTTGCAACGCCCTGTAAATGATACTAACTTACGAAATAAATTAAGTTCCCCCATTCTTTATCTATAAGACTGCCCAAATAGATGTACGACTCCACGTCTTAGAAAGATAGCCTTGGAAAAATCGCCACGTAGGAAACTACTAAATGTGGACAAACTGCTTGTTTATATTTTCAAAATTAGGAGAGCTACACTGTTATCACTCTATGCTATGCTTACGTCTACGTGAACGTTAACATTGTGTGTTGTCTTTTATAAAGACAGTTTATTAAAGCGCCAACCCTCTTTGGAAAAAAAAAAAGCGATTATTCTTGGAGATTACCATTATAAGACGGTTTCATTAAATACGTTTTTGCCTCAGTCTTACAATTTTCATTTTCGGATATTCCGGCAAACGTTCGTTGCAACTTCCACCAACCGCCGCGGCGGTCTCCGGTCTCTGACTTGAGTCGAGTGTCTTGTCCAAGTAAATACAAAGTTTGTCAGATTTCCACCTGTGAATAGTGGCGAATTCTGATAGGCCCGTGCATGACGTAACACATCAGTGGTGAAATATAATATTACGCGACTACCACATTCTGCACCACTGTTGAAAGACATTGTCATTACAGAAAGCATGCAGTTTGACATACGGAGGTAAAAATCAGATGAACTCAGTTACTCAGTTGGACTGCTGTTTTTTTTTTTTTTTTAAATTACTTTATTTAATTTAAATATCTTTCTTTATTTTTAAAGTCGTAAATTGCTTTAAATTATTTACACAAAAAAAGTGTTTCCCGTGATCATAGTCATAACTGTCCACTTCAAAACATTGAAAAGTACAAAACAAATCGAAGACAAAATTTGCCAAACATAGTACTAGTACATACACTTACACGTCTAATCTCAATTTTTTGTATAAAATATGGTCTGTTGGTGCAGCCTTACAGATATATCAATGGGAATGGAACAGATTAAAAATGACTTTTAGTTAACACATTATTGCTGTATAAAAAAATATGAAATACATTAGGCTAGTAATAGTAATAATTGTAAAAAAAAAAAAAACTCCACAATGGAGTTAACACAACAAGAGGTGTCTAAGACAAGTGGTTTTTTCTACTGAATATTTGATGTTGCAGTTGCCCATGACTGCTTCTGCATTCACTGTCTTATATTATAAAACTGAAAATCCATGTGCCAGTCTGTCTGTATAATTCTGAGTCACAAGATCTGCTTCCAAACTGACCATTGGGTAAAATGGCAGATGTAATTCTGGCTTTTAAGAGCTGCTGGTGTAGTGGTTAGATGCTTGCCTGCTAATCAGAAGGTCATGGGTCTGGCTCCTGATGAAGCTGTCTTTAAAAAAAAAAAAGAATAACTTTGCTCCCAGGTCAACCTAGCCTTGAGTGGGTACCAGGTATAGTTCTGGGAAGTGAAGGCAGCTGGTGTGGTGTTGACCACATCACTCACTACTAAGTGCCAGTTTCTCTGTGAAATATATGTCTTGCTTTGTATGCCAAATATACCTGAAGACATGGTAAAGGATCCTTTTCTGGCTGCAATACGTAGGTTTACATTGTTTTTTGCAACAAGGTTTCTATGTATTTCTGATAACTAGCACAACTATCACTAAAGTTAACATTCACTCTGGTTACTTCCCTTGAGTATCTACATAATTTTGTAATGCCCCTTGAATAATAAGGTTGTCAAACTGTATTTCGCTGTTTTCTTGCTCAAGACTTGAAGCTTAGACAGTAACTTCTTTAAGCAGTTAGAGCCGCAATATCTTAGTGGATAGACCAATGTTTTGCAATGTCAGCACTACTTCCTCCTTGGAGACTCTTTATTAAATTTGTCTGTTTAAATTGGGGTGTGAGGGGAGGGGGAATTCAAAACTCTGGGCAACAAATAAACAAAAGGCAATGATGGAGACAAAAGAAGGAAAAAAGATGGGAAGATTACATTTGCAGCTGGAAAATTGAATCTTTCTTGCATGTTTTAAAAGTTGACACATACTCATCTGCTGACAGGGAAAGAAAATTTAAATTTAATTTAAAGAAAATTTTTTTTTACCTGTATATCAAGCCTTACGTGATATGTTACACTTTTGTTTTTTAATTTGACCTGAAATTGATAAAAAAAATCTAGATACTTTTATTTAAAAAAAATTATTTTTTGAGAATTAAATTTCATCCAGGGTGTATGTTGCATTGCCTATTGAAGAGTCATACATTTACCATTTTTCAGTCAGTATAGTTACTGCTGGCTTTGGACTTTTGCTGCAGATTCTTCTGGTTCTGAAAAGTTAAATATACAGAGAGCAGCCTCTGCGTGGCATTCTGCTCTGCCACAAATGGTTGCTTTTATGGTGGGACTTTGGACAGTGTTTCTTTCCTGCTGCGATGGAAATGTATTCTAGTCTGGGATAATTCTCATGCATTTTATTCACTATGAATAACTGATTTATTGTTCAAAGATCAATCATCATAATATTCTGGGCAGCCTAAAAATGATGCATCACAACATCAAATGTTTTGTGTAAATGCTTATAGGGACATACTGGTTCTAAACACATCAGGATCATTCTCACGCACCCCTTCATACACTCCCACTCAAACCACATGTTTTCCAATTACACACATCTGTGAATATGTTGTGTCATCTGCTGTTACATCCCCTGGATTCACACTGCTCATTATAAGCTATGTTTGCCACTTCCAGCTTAGTTTGATTTGCCAGCTGGTAGCTCTGCTGAATTAGGCTACCAGTTTGTCCATGTCAGTTTTAGCTGTTGTGCAAGCTAGATTTTTTTTCTGTATTCCTTGATTGACTTATCTTCTGCAAACCTCATAAAACCTTAGATGATATTTAACTGTGAGTGTAAATTTATATATGCAGATCTGCATTAAGGTAGGGCCTGTGTGTTTTAATATGAATATCATTATACTAATTACATTTAAAAAAATTTTAAACAAAAGTAAAAGACCTTTTTTTCACGCCTTTAGATGAATTAGGGATATAAGGCTAGAGCCATATTTTATAGACCAATCAGCACTTAGTGGATGATGTGATCAGCATCATGCCAGCCACCTTTACTTCCCAGGACTGCATCTGGTACCCACTCAAGGCTGGGTCGACCTTGTAGCCAAGGTGATTTTTTTTTAAAGAAAAAAATAGTCTGGTACTGCCAGGACCTGAACCTACAATCTTCCAATCCTCTAGACGACCATCTTGCCTCTACACCACTGTGGCTGCCTAATATACTAATAATCACTGTAAATATATTGTTTAGGTTTACACTACCTGTCATTTATTTTTTTAATAATCACTGCTTTTTTTCTCTGTATACATCAGTATTGGTGTATACTCGCTGTTTTAAAAAATTAAGTCAAGTTTTATTTTCATAAGCATCTTATAAAATATATAATGTAAGCTTTATTATCATATACAGTTTGTCTAAGTAAAACAGCTTCAAATCACACACAAACACAGATGCACATCACACCATACTTACTTTTTTTTTGGTTTAAGCAAAGTCCTATTTGTGACAACATAGTATTGTTTATAAACAATTTTTTTTTTCAATACAGGTTTGACATTTATCGTAAGGTTCCCAAAGACCTTACTCAGCCCACTTTGACCGGAGCCATAATTTCAATATGCAGCTGTCTGTTCATGGCCTATCTTTTTGTTTCTGAACTGAGGGAGTATCTGACAGTGGAAGTGTAAGTTGTCTTGGCTGTAGTTGAAACAGATGTAGGCATGCGAGACATTTTGTGTTGAAATGTTTAAATGTAACTAAAGTAAAAGTTTCTTTAGAAACCATTAGGCTTATTGATGGGGGACTGGGAAATGAGAAAAAAAAAAGATCTTACATTATGTATTCTTACTTCCCGTATGGGTTCTGGGGCCCTGTTATAGGGAAAACAAGAATAGGTCCACTGCCTACCCAAAAGCATGTAGTAAGAGTGGACTAATTGGGAGCTTCCTTTAAAGTCAAAGTGCATCTGCCTGAGAGGCAAGGAACCAACAGTCTGCATACAAATTAGTCAGATCTATTAAACGGATGTATACGCAAAACTCAAGTTCTGGAACAGGACTTCAGTCCAGAAGTGGACAAATGTCCAGAACTTTCCGCCAGAGTTCACAACTGGTGAATGCAAAGAAGAAGAAGGTTTATTCTTACAAAGTTGAAGGAAGTCTTCCTGGCTAAGTGATTAAGTCTTGCACTCTGAATGTTGTTGATTCTTGTCACAGACTAGGTCATTCTGTTCATGTGTGCACTTTTTACATAAATCCTCATGGATTGTTGCTGGAGCTGCAGAGTTGTGTGCTTTGTATGATCCTGTTTGCATGTAGCTAATCATTCTTTAGAGAAACTGAGCCAAATATAGGATCAATCTTGGTGCTGTAAAGAAAGTCCTTTCAACTGAAAACTTCAAACTGTTGTTTACTAACGTGGGGCCTATGCCCCATGGGAGAAGGGGTGGGGTTTGATTGTTAAGGGGGACAATTCGAAAATGGATGCATCCACAGTTTAAGTTACATGGGGGGATGGGGGGGGGGGGGGAGCGGCATACACATTTCAGAAAGACTCAGGTGGGGCATGGCACACAAAAAAGGCTGGGAGACTGCTTTAAACGAAGTTGTAGATACACAGATAATAAAATTCATACCTACATATTGATTACAAAAGGAAGGAAAAACTATTTTTATAAATATTTGGAGACATACCAGCTCTGTCATCAAATGTATGATAAATATTGCTATGTAAGGCATATTCATTCAGTTTTACTCATAACTGTTGTGTTTGCATGTAGATATCTTATGCTACCAGTACTTCAGGTTCTTTAAAGGTGTGAAAGCACCTTACATTATTAGTTGTTATCTTTGTAAATAGTACAATGTGTATAGTTAGAGCATGATAAAGTGGACAATTCTTTCTATATATTATACACATTTGTGTTTATTCTCTGATTGCAGCCTAGTTTTTAATAATTTAATTCTGTTTGTATTCTCTCTGAACAGGCAGAGCGTGTTAACAGTCGAAGATCCAGTCAAACACTCAGAGAAGATACCTGTGTTCATTAACATAACACTTCCAAACCTGGCCTGTACATGTAAGTAAATTTTCTCTCTGTAGTTTGAATATCTTGACTGGCTGGTCTTCATTTTCCTGTATGTTAGTTTTCTATTTTGGTAGCTAAATCAGAAAGGTTAAGAGAACTTAGTGATACGTTTTACCATTTAGGATGTCATTACCATAGGTGTGTAATGTAATACAAGGGGCCTTCAAATTAAAACTTGAAAAGTATGATAAAAATTGCAGTAGCCATACATTATTCTTGTAACCTGTCAGTATTGTTAAGGATGTCAAGAATGTTAAGCACGTTACATCACGGTGTACTCAGTCACCATCTGGTCCAGCGAGAGGTCTCCCAGTCCAGCAAGTGTATGAGTCGAGTACGAAGTGACTTCTGTGACAGACTGTTCATGACCAGGTCAGGCACACATGTGAACAGTCTGTCACAGAAGTTACACTGTTTTGAACATTCCTTCTCCGCTTGTAAACTTGCTGGACTGACAAGCTTGCATCACTATATTTGACCTTTATTCGCTGATGAAATTGTATCGATTTCATGTCCTCATGATACAAAAAACACAAAAAAACATATAATAGAATGCTGCTCTTCATTTATGCATGCCAAAAGTGGGGCGGCCACTTTTAAACTAATTATGACATCACCTTGTTCAGTTGCACTATGTTGTCACATGCTTAACATGCTTGTCATCCTTGATCTTCATTATTATTGTTGTTTTACAGATATTGGGTTAGACATTCAAGATGACATGGGGCGCCATGAGGTCGGATTCAGGGACAATACTCATAAGGAGCCTGTCAATGATGACAAAGGATGTCGTTTTGAATCTCACTTTTTAATCAATAAGGTAAGCAAATGAAATGTAATAGGCACCCTGTTACATAACATATTAGCTCTTGTCACTGACTGTTTTATAGTTGTATGTTCACACGTTTTTAAATGCAAGAGTTTCTGTTACTGAACACTGTTTAAAATTACAAAATTTTGTCTAGAAACACAGTAACTTTGTAGCCTGACACCTGCCTTTTTGACTTTTATTGGTCCATTTTTAAAAGTAACAATTCACTACTGAAGTTTCAGTATACATTTGTTCAATCAGGATAGGAATGGTGTCATTTGGAAGTGTTGGTTCTGAAAGTTTACATATAGCTGTCATTTTTTTGGGTTGTATTTTTGTTCAAAGGTGTCATCTTGTATTTTCTGTTGTCTCTTTGAGTTGTGTTAAGAACAGACAGCAGAGCCCTTTGGTTATTTATTCTCATGAGCACTTCATTCCTATTTTTTACAGCCAGCAGAGAGGTCCAATACCAGTTGGACAGTTGTATTGATTATAATATGCCCCTTTTGCCTTTCCTCTGGGTGTTGAGCCTATTGCACATTCTCTAGTCACATTAAGCTAAATTTTTCTCTCCAGATAGTGATGATCTGTTCACTGTTCTACACTGTCTCTGCACTCCCAAAGACCCTAGACCACATCTGCTTTTGTCATGCACTTTATGATGCAGGACCAGCTGTCTTTCTGCATGGTCATTTCCTAACTCACCTGCATTCTCTGGAGAAAAGATCCAAAGTATGAATGCTCACAACTCATCATCTCATGTATTTTATGTAGTTGTATGGTTCATGACATGTACACATGAGGTTCAAATGTTACAGCTGGGCAAATGCAGTCTCGCAATCACTAAAATGACATTTTTATTTCTAAAATTGAAACTATTATTCCTATAAAGTTTTACTGTAAGAGTGGACCAAAATAACAAATAAAATAGAAATATAAGTTCACCAGTAGTTTAGTAAAACTGATCTCACGGTCACACAATTTTGTATATACAATTTTAGTAAGACTTAACAGAATTTGTGATTAGTTTCTAGGTGCTGGGTAATTTTCATGTTTGCACTTAAATTTATTAAGTTACTAGGGATAGAAACAGATGTATTAGTCACATACCTCAGTTTCAAAGGATGTGGACTATGCAGATACCATACATAAGTCTTATATCAAGTTGCTGTGCGGGTGCTCAGTAAAAGATTTACAAATTGTTTTTTTTTTTATTGGTACATTGGTCCTTAGAAAGAACTCAAAGTAAATAATAGTAAAACAAAATTAATAAAAAAAAATAGACCAGAAAAAAATCCAATTATCTTTAATGATAAAGCCATTAAAAAAAGGTTTTAGAAATTACATACCTCGGAAATAAAGTTAATCCCAGTGGGGATTCTATAAAGGCAACATCGAGAATAAACAAAGTAAACCTAGCATTTACCATGCTTAATATATATGGAAGTCAAAGGAACTTATTTTGAAGATATTAACTACAGGAGCAACATTTTAGGAATGTTTTTATCCAATAGAGAGTGTTGAAAAATGACAAGAAATTACACATAAACTAGACTTTTCAAAATAAATGTCTATGGACAGTCCTGTGAATATTTTGACCTAACAAAATCACACATGAAGAGCTGAGGAGGAACAAAAATGTTTATTACTGGCAGAATGTTATCAAAGGAAGAAGATGTAGATGGTTTGAACATATTTGCACAATGCCTCATGACATTTTGGCAAGGACAGCTTTTTGATGCTGATGACCTAAGGAAACCTGGAGAAGGACAGCAGAAAAATACATGATGTGCAAACTGACATTGGATACCATATCTAGAAAAGCAGCAGACTGGCATTATTGAAGATCACTTGTGAATACCTTATGTGTCACTAGTGAGACCAACAGGTAATACACCCACATTTACACAGTTTTGTCTATAAAATATTGGTAAGAATTAACTAAATTTGTAATTCGTTCCCAGGTGCCAGGTAACTTTCATGTGTCCACGCACTCAGCCGTCAATCAGCCAGAAAATCCAGACATGACCCACATAGTTCACAAACTCCGGTTTGGAATGGATCTAGAGCAAGGAAAGGTATGTATGCTTCAGATTGTATTTAAAACACCTGTTTCCTCTTCTGTTTATTTTCTATTTCACATTTGGTGTTACAGAATTGTACCATTCCTTTATTTTGTGATGCCAAAGCCGGTCAATTCTTTTAAAAAAGTTCTTTGTTGGTATTGTCAACCTTTCGGTAAACTTCGATCCAGGAGCACTGCAAAGATCATTCTAAAATGTCCAACAAATGAAAATCTTAAGTGGTATCACTATTCTGACTCGCTGACAGACTGGCTACCAATGACTGTTGTTATCTTTAAGTGGGTATAGCATTCACACATGAATATTAATGGTCTTTGTATACTAATGCACTAGAGAATACTCTGTGTGTTTCCTTTCCAGGGAAGACACCGATGTTGAATACTGTTGAAAACTATACCAGGGGGCATTCAGAAAGTAATACCCTTTTTTTCTACTTACAACTGTTTGCTGTAGAACATGAAATTCAATGAAAATATTACTCATGGATGACTCATGGCCTTTTAACAGCATAATTTTTTTGTACAATCAAAGTTTATTTTTATGTCTTTATGCCAGTGTGAACCAAGGGCATGCCCACCTTGCGTCTGTCAGGGTGTGTTCAGTTCACCTAGCCATTTATCCACAGCATGAGTAATATCCTCAGGTCCATCTCTCTACTTTGTGAAGCCTTAACTCTCTGAACCCAATGACCAACAGTGCTTCTAGTGACTGCACAACTTCCATGCATAGCACACAAACATGTTTGAATGTTCACATTTTCTTTTTTCCTCAAAAAGACATTTTACAATAGTTCACTTGATTTTTTTGAGGAACAAAAATGGCCCAGTACTTTTTTTGAATGTGCCTCATAAAATCCACTTTTTTAAAATGATGTTCATATGGTTCGTGATTTAAAATGAAAATAAAAATTCTTACATACAGATTGTAAACACATATTGTTTTATATCTTTTTGCCTTTCCACTTTGTGAAATTTACTTTATAATACATTTATTACTCATTTATTTGCTCTTTTGTCTTTTCTTTCAACTTTCTACTACTTTCCCAGCATCTGCTTCTGTCACTCAAGTCACAGTGTAAATAGGATTATTACATCAGCAGGGGAGATTGATTGGTCAATGACTATACCTTTGTAAACCTTTTTTTTTTGTTTTTAAAAAATAAAACTATATGTTCACAGTAGTTCAAACTTTTTTTTTTTTAAGTTTCGTGTCCTTTACAGGACATTGCAGAGCCAATGCCAGCATCTTTTGCTGTTTGGGATTTCACTAGGCAATTTTACATTGCTTTCTGAACAGTTGGCTCTTGATACTGCTGCTGAAAACATTGTAAGGCGGTCTGCTGCCAAATGTCTCACAGCTGGGATCGAACCCGGCGCCTTGGAATTACAAAGTGCCTTTGCAATGCCTAAGCCACAGATTCAAACAGGGGTTGACTTTTATGGGAAGTTTTTCGCAGCTATCTTCTATTTACTGTTTACTTTTTTACACTTGTTAAAGTGGTTAGTGTATTGGCCTGCCATGAAAAAGGTCCTTGTTCAGTCTCTGGCAAAGGTAGGAATATTTCTCTTTCATAAGTACAGCTTTAGGGTCAGCTCAGTTTTATCAGCCTGGGTACCTGTCAGTTTTCAAAATGCTCTTGGAATGGTATGGAATCTAATGGCACTAATGAGGGAACTTGCCAGTTCTATCTTATTGTATCAAATTCAAGAATTTGTGAAGGCTGATGAACTCTTTACAAACCAGTCTCACTAGAGTACCAATCCTTTTGTGTTTTTTTGCGCGTGTGTGTGTGTGTGTGTGTATGGGGAGAAAAAGGAATGGGATGCAGGGGTAAACTAGCAATCTTGCAGTATAATTATTGTTTCCCCCTCTTCATAGTAAAATAGTTTATTTTGAATATTGTAAGCTATACGACTAGTTTATATTTCTCAGTTGTGCGTTTGCTTTTAAAGAACAACTTTTTTTTTCAGCCATGTAAATTCTTCTATTAGTTTACAAGTTACCATACTCTCATTGCTTTTTCAGGACGTCAAAGGCTCCTTCAATCCATTGGAAAATCTTGATAAAACAAAATCAAATCGTGAGTACAAAGATACTTAAGGCTTGAATTGTGCCATGTATACTGTTTTTTCTTTCTTTATGTAATTAACTATACTTTTTCTGTTCCAAGCGATTTGCAGCAGCTGTTCAATAGTGACAGACACTAGAATTGAAAAACATAAAAGTATATTACTTCCAGAGATGCAATATGTCCTGTGCTGCATGTTCAGACATCTAGCCAGATTTTTTAGTGTACCCAGACTTATTGAAGATATTATACACCGTCTGCTGCTTGATACAAAGAGAATAAACTCATAACTTGTGCTGTCTGTAAACTAATTGTAAAAATTATTTTAGTACTATATTAGTTTCACACTTGCATCAATTAACAACCAGAACAGCCAAATGTAAGTCATAGTTTATATATGTATATGCTAATGTATATGCGCATGCACGCGCACATACCCACCCACCACATATATGAATACACACACACACACAAACACATATGCAGTATATTTGATCTTGAAAAATTATGCTTTTATATACTTTTTAGATTCTCATTTATAATAGATATTTCTTCAATTTAACATCTTTGTGACATGCTTCTAGCATTTATTTTAAGCTTTTGATATAACATTTACATCTGACCACTTCTTTTTGTTCTGCTTCTGCCTTCACCTTTAAAATGGTTGTTGACACATTATGTAGTGCTTTACAGCTAGACTGTGATATCTGTGCCTTTTAGCCCAATACATTAGCTAACCCCAAACCCCTAATTAGTTGCCTTTTGTGACATGCTTGTTAGGAGGGCAGTAAGTCTGCAACAACAAAAAAAAAGGGTACCGGAACCCACATTGGGGGTTTAATTTGAGATATTCTCCTTCTGCTACTAGAAGGAGAAAAAAAAAGGAAAAATTAAGACCCAGGCTTCGAGCTATCACCCAATTAGTCTCACAAGCTGTGTAGGAAAGATATTGGAAAGAATTGTAAATTCAAGACTGAAATGGCACTTAGAATCTGAGCAGATCTTGGTGCCAGAGCAGGCTGGGTTTAGGGAATGTCACAGCATAGAAGACCAAGTCACCTACCTGTCACAAGCTGTAGAGGATGCCTTCAAACAAGCTTTTGACAAAGTCTGGAAAGATGGTCTCATTGCAAAACTGAAGAGAAATGGAATCCAAGGAAACATGCTAAAATGGATCCAATCCTTCTTACACAGCAGGAGAACTAAAGTCAGTCTTGATGGCCAGCAGAGTAGAAAAGTGTTACTTCGGCAAGGAGTACCACAGGGAGGAGATCTCTTCAACTTTCTTTCTTGAGTATATAAATGATCTGGTGAAAGACCTCCATACAGGAGTAAAAGATGCCCTGTATGCAGATGATCTGGCACTCTGGTGTACCGATGAACACACCACAGGGGCAAATATAAGAATGCAGCGAGCAGCAGATCTCTTGATGACATAGGCAGAAAAGTGGCATGTTGCCATCAACACAGACAAAACATCCACAACGCTTTTCTCTCTTTACCCCAGGGACAAAGCTGCTAGTATTCACCTAGGAACATCCTTGCTAAAGGAAGAAAGCTTCCCCACTTATCTTGGAGTAACATTTGATAAAAGGCTCACATGGAGCAAACATATAGAAAATGTAGAAGGTAAGGCCAGGAGATGACTAGGCCTACTTAGAAAACTGGCAGGTACAGGATGGGGAGCGAATGGAAAAACCCTAAAGAAAGTTTATAATGGAGCGATAAGACCCCACTTGAAGTTTGGTGCTGATAATTCCCATCTACAATCGTTAGACAGAGTGCAAAATCAAGCTCTTAGACTCATCACATGATCCATGAAAACTGCACCAATCCTGAAGATGCAGAAAATAACTGCAATGCAGACACTGTCCTATAGAAGAGACACTAAAACTATGATCCAGATGGAGAAGTTTAATAGTATGCAGTCACACCCAATGAATGAAAGGTTAGATATCTGGCATTAGGGCGTCTCAAACGTAGCAGCTTTGTCCATCGGGGGAAAAGACTTAGAAGACAGTATCAAGCTGATCTACCTATTAGAACAACACCGCTAAAACCTACCCTATACCCTGTACCTTGGGAGCAAGTCAGTGATACAATACAGATAATGACTTCAGTCAATGGATTCACAACTGGAGATGAGTCCAATGATCTTCAAAAATGAACAGCTGCTTTTAGCATGATTCATGAAAACTATCCCGAACAGTCATGGATACATGTTTACACAGATGGATCAGCAACCAGTGCGGTTAAAAATGGGGGTGCTGGAGTCTTCATTACATACCCAGGCAACCACTGCCACACAAAGTGGATACCCACTGGTAAATTCTGTTCCAACTACACAGCAGAGATTGTAGCACTAGAGCAGGCTGCCGAAATGTTACACAACACCAGTTCTGACTGCCACCAAGTGGTCATATTCACAGATGCGCTATCAGTGCTTCAAGCCCTCAAGAGTGGCAAACTCCCTCACTTAAGATCTGAACGTGGCAAGGTGGCTGCCCAAAAGTGTACTGTACTCCAGTGGGTGCCATCCCACTGTGGTATACCAGGAAACAAAACCGCAGATAAACTTGCTAAAAAAGGGGCAGAATGTGACCAGGAAGAGAATACAGTAACATACTATGAGAAGAAAAGGGCCATCCAGGCTATTAGAAGTGAACAGAGTCTGGCCAGAGATGACTACCACTTACTTGACCGGCATGGGCAGGTCATTGTCCTACGTCTCAGGACAGGACATAACAAACTTAACCAGCATATGCACAGGCTTAGTCTAAGAAGTTCACCTTTTTGCCCTTGTGGGCTATGAGTGCAGACTACAGAACATGTCCTGCAAGACTGTCCCTTGTTCAGCCCATTAAGAAAGGAATACTGGCCCAGTGAGTCACCACTATACACAAAGTTGTATGGGACTAAAAATGAACTCATAAAAACAGTCAAGTTTATCACAAGAACCTGTCTGTCGGTGTAAATCAGAAAGCGAACACAAGAAGAAGAAGAAGAAGAAGAAGCTACTAGAAACTTTCTAGATGCCTATGGGAAATCAAAGGGCATTATATAATGTAAACTGGAAGGAAGAAATCCCTTTTCAACGTAATGTAGATTATGGATGTTAGGAGAGACAAGGTTGCCAAATGCCTTGTCACTTGACTGCCACAACCAACTGAGACCTCATAATGATGCCAAATCGAAGTTAGATACCAGTAACCTCTGACATTTGTTGGCAATTCTAATATAAATTTACTCTTCCCCCTAAAAAATTGACTTTTAATAAGTATGGGATCCATGGCAGACCTTCAAAATTAAGAGAGGTCTGCCAGTTTTATCTAACTAGAACCCACTGATCTGCACCTTAAAACATTTCCTGTGAGGGGCAGAGCATATATGATTATACCTTGTAGGCTATATCATCAGTTTCTGAAATCCTTATAATCAGATTCATAAAACCATTCTACTTTTGAAAAACACAGATAAGATAATTATAAGTATAGTAAAGGGCGTTTTTCCTACGCCTTCATGCATACTGAGCGTATAGGGCTAGACCTGTATTTTTTTAGACCAATCAGCACTTAGTGGGTTATGTGGTCAAAATTACGCTTTCACTTTCCACGACTTTTACCTGGTACCCGTTGAATGCTGGATTGACAGTTTATTTTTGAAAAAAGTCCAGATCTGTTCAGATTTGAACCAATGGCCTTCAGATCCACAGGCGAGCGTCCAGTCGCTACACCATGCAGCTCTTACATATGATTGTGTATTCTAAAACATTATGTGTTAGGTTTTATTTCTTAGGGTGAGACATGCAGTTTATATTGAAAAAATAAATGGCAGGAGAAGCTGTTATTTTATGAACAGTAAAATTGTTTTTATTGCAGTTTTCTGAAAACTCTGCAGATATGATTAACGTCACTAGTGGATTGTTTTTGTTAATGATGAGAGTTGTTAGCCTAAAAACACTTGAAGACATATTCAGGAGGAGATTGAATCACTTATGGTCATGTCTGATGTTCGATGATCTTTAAATGAACAATGTTAATGATGATGTGTTTCATAGATATGATGCTTAAATGTTTTTTCCTCTTCACTTTAGCACTTTCAACACACGACTACATTCTAAGAGTGGTGCCAACAGTGTATGAGGATAAGAAAAATAATGTCCGGTATCCATTTCAGTATACCTATTCATACAGGGTAGGTTTATCCATTTCTGTATACCTATTCATACAGGGTAGGTTTATCCATTTCTGTACACTTTGCCAGCTTGCATGCATTCACTTAGGATTGTGGGCTGTCAAATGGTTAACATGTTATATTAAAACAGTATTCTATGCAAGTAATACCGAAAGTTCCAGTGTATCTAGGAAAAAATAGTGGGAACAAAATAAAAAAAAAAAACAAAAAAAAATTAATATTCTTCTTATTCTGCCTTCTATTCCCCAATGGAGCATAGGCCCTCAACCAGCTCACGCCAAGTCGTTCTTCACTGTCCCATGCAGTTCTCCCCATGTCCTCGCCATTTTTTAACCTCTCTTTTGCTCTCTTTTCAGTGTTTTTTAAATAGTCTTCCTTTTTTTTCTACTCACCTGTGGGTTCCAGTCCGAAGACATTCTAGTTAAATTGTTCTCAGGTTTTCTCAAATTTTGTCCTCTCCAAAGCCAGTGTCTTTTCTTGACCTGTTGGTCCACTGGACCTTATTTGGTTCTCTCCCAAAGCTCTACATTAGTGATTCTATCATACCATTTAATTCCCTTCATTCTGTGCAGACACCAGTTAATGAAGAATGTATCTAGTTTATTAGTAATTGCCTTAGTTGCTCTCCATGTTTACGCTCCATACAACAGTACTGATTTGACATTAGAATTAAAAATTATATATATATATATATATATAAAATCAGGGATATTCTGGACATAAGAATTAAAAAAGCGGGAAAATTGCTTGAAGATATATATACATATTATATCAGGGATATTCTGGGCAAGAGAATTAATGAAGCGGGAAAATTGCCAGGAGATCCAGGGACTTTTGGGTGTGCCATAATGAGAGTGACATTCTGCAAAGGATCTGCTACATAATGATTTGTGATAAATTGCACAGACATGTCTCTTTTTGATATAATTATATTTATTTCTGAGTTGAGCTGAGTTAAGAATTGACATCACAGCACTCGGGGCTCTGCACCCATCCTCAGCAACCAGCGCAGAGTTCCAATACTAATGGTGCCAGTCGTAGTCTGGTTGTATGAACGTCTTACCTTTCCTCTGAACTTAATGTGCCGGCCGAACTCTCTGCTCACTACCAGGTGCATCCTTCTCTCCAGCCCATAATTATCTAGTTTCTCTTCTGACTTCGTTACTTGTTCCCAAAGGGCTGTGACCATATCTGCCTTGTCATGTATTTATTTCTGACGATTGTTAAAATCTTTATGTACGTAACATTTTAAAGCAAGTAAACATATCCTGTAGTGTTCCTTGCAAATATTTAAAAAAATATTTATTTTATCTCATGTTCCAGGATATGCTGCAGGTGGGACATGGTGGGAGAGTCATGCCTGCTATATGGTTCCGCTATGAACTTAGTCCCATTACTGTGCGCTATACAGAAAAAACAAAACCATTTTACACTTTTCTGGTTATGGTAAGTGGACTTTGGTGTACATTCTTTGTTTGCAATGTTTATAGGTTATAATATTTTATTTGTTATTTAATTTAGGCTTCTGTTGGAAGGCATGCACTTTACCTTTCTGTGTTCACCCTCCACTGGGAATTATCAAAATAGTGATGTATTGGCCCTACGATCCCTTGAGATTACAAAACTTTAGTATGATGTAACAGGTTGTGGGTTCCCTGGATGTGGGTTTAACAGAATTTTATATGTTGAGTAGGGAATTTTCCTCTCAACACATCCCCTCCATCAGGTTAATTGAACTAATATCCGGGCTATGTTGCTCTCAGACAAAGTCCTGGATATCCAAGAAAACAGTCATATTGGCTCGTTAATTATTTTAACATTAGCTGCTCTTGGTATCCACAAGAGAAGGAAATGGGTTTTAGATGTCTATATATTATTATATTGAATGATTTACTAGACAGGGCAGTTGACCCAATCCGTCGACCTTCCCTTGGTAAAGAATTATTATTATTTAATGAGCCTCCACCAAATGCTATTCTATCTTAACAGTTTAATTAAACATGTAAGAACAGACACACTTGGAATTACAAAAACTGATGCAGGATAAGACCATATACTTGATTTATTAACCTAGCAATCATTTTGGTTATTTGTATTTTTAGTCAACAGTGATGGTATGGTGGTAATGAGATGCTTCAGCTAACTGAGCACCTAAGATTAGAGTGAAGTGATAATGGTGGTGTTTAGTTACATAAATACATGATACATAACTTAACGTATTTTAGAAAGTGGAACCTCTGAGAGTCCTCATGTTGAGTCCCTTCTTAGCTGTTCCAACTTTTCCGCCCAGTTTTCCTGGTTCCACCTGGTTCCCACCTGTTTCCCAGTGGCCGAGTTCTAACACACTGTAGTCTCGTGCCCGTGATGATCCTCTATTTCTGTTCTCAGAAAAGACAGATCGTCACATGGAAGCTGTAATCATGGAAACAAACACATACGTGTAGTATCTTGACTTACACTAAGAATACATGTATCAATTAATACAATATATAATAATAAAATAAATCTCATCACTCCTCCTCAAATTCCACATTCTCTCCAGTCTAGTCTGAAGGTCTTTGTGTCTCACACTGACGTCTAACATATCCTGCCCTTCCCTCTCAGGTTCTGTCATGATAGTTGACTTTCTAAGTCTGTTGTCCGTCATCACTCAGACTTCCAACTGGCTGACATTGATTTGACATAAACATGTGGCGCAGGTTATGTACTGAACACGCAAAACATTTTATACGTGCATGCTGTCCTGAATATTATCTTTCAGTGACAGTGATTTCTTTACACCCATGATTCTTCCCCTGGGGTTATAAATCCCCTGTTTAGGTGAACACATTAAGTGAGCACATGGTGTGCACACGCAAAAACGTAACAGCATATGTGGGCATCATTTCCCACAGTCCAAACTCATGTTTTGGTTGATGGTTGAAACATTATAATTTCATTATAATTCAGTATACAAGTCTTATTTTATAAACATGAAAACATACACTGAAAAACATGTGGCACAAACAAACAAGAAATAGAAATGGTTTATCAGTTCCTTAACTGAGATACTGAATACTCACAAAGAACTATTTCAAGCAGAATGTGTAGCAAAATTAGGACAAGGTAGAATAGGCTTAGCTAACTCCCTAACCTTTGTATACAAGATTGAAAACAATTGTACAAGCTTACCTGGAAACATTCCATAAATCGCCATACCAGAATCAAACAATTAGAATCACTTCTAATGTCGATCTGTGTTTGTTGCCGGTGGCAGCGATTATGACGGAAAGTCCAGAGGCTAGCATTATTAATACCTCTATCTGTCAACTCCTCCCCTTTCTAGGTTCTACCCAACCTTCCAGGAGATGACCTAAGCCACGCCCCTGAGGTACCTTGCAGATCAACATAACTATCAATGGGTCTGTCACTCAAAGTGAACGGCCTTCATTATGACCTTGACCAAGATCAGACATTCCTAATTGGCAAATATCTGTTCTCCTGAGAATTTCACTGACATGTGTGAAACTCCCGCCACTAGACGCCATCATGTCTAGAGTTGTCTACCAGACCACTTAATTCCCCTGATCTGCTCTGTTCAAAAGGCCCCACTCAGTCTGTGTTATGAAAAATTCATGGGAGATAATCTCAGGTGTGATACTAAGTTATATCCCCAGTTACCTACCTCTAAGGTCTGTGGGCAGGAGATAATTAGATGACACTGGCTGGTGAAACGAATCCCCAGCTAAGGTAGTATTAGGTAATCTTACACAAAGCTGGGTTGCTTTGTCTGGTGAGAGACGGGGAAACAAAGTTTAAGCAATTTTCAAATTCCTTGACGTGGTTTTAGAACTCTTCAGGCTCAGTGCATATTGAGTATAATTCTTTGTCCTTCTTTGAACATAAGAAATTATTAAACACAATATAACTTCTGAGACCACTGAGGTCATTTCGTCACAACCTACACAACGAATTATTTATAGATACTTGTGGTAGCTATAGTAGTTATCTTAGATCCTCTTCTGAAGTTCAGATTCTGTTGTATAGTCATGCCAGTCACATCATTCTATCGTTACTTCTGTTAGTAACATTACTAGCTACTGGAGATTTTGTATTTTAATGACTGAACAAATGAGGTAGTTTTTACATCACCACGCAGTTTATTTTTGGTCAAAGCCAAGGGCTATTCAGGCTTATTTTTTTTTTATAATACTTGTTGATCCTTTGTTTCCAGGCCCATGTATACACTACCTGACCTTTCATTCATACTTTCTCAGACTCTTCTATGTCGGAGGGGTGTCACCTTGTCTTCCCTTCAATTACATCAGCGTCGGTGTCGCATGTTCTATAGTACACAACGACACAACTTTCAGCAACCCCAGAACGTGCAGAACTGGCCCTAACCTAAACCCCTTAACCACAGCCTCAACCTAGGTCACAGGAGAGACTCTTTTTGAAGCAGTACAACGTGACACCCCTCTGACCTAGATCAGACTGAGAAAATGTGTAGATGGGCCTGGAGACGTGAACAAGTCCTACTTTTCATCTCCCAGTGAGGCATTGGAACATTGCCAAAATAAGTCTGTGATTTATCAGGGCATGAGTAAAGTGTCCAGAACAGCCCAGCTTAAAATGGATGACAGGAAATGTCCTGAGAAGTAAAGATGGCCAGCATGATGTTGATCCACATGGTCTGTAAGAATATGGGTTGCACCATATGCCATATGATGTGTCAGTAGCATGAAGGGGGGGGGGAGGGGGGGGGGAGGCATGTACTTCTCTTTACTTTGATACCTCAAGTTATTACCAGCTAAAGTTAATACTGTTTTTTCCCTCCTGATTTATAATTCAGATCTGTGCTATAATTGGAGGAACATTCACAGTCGCAGGAATCATTGATGGCCTTGTATTTTCTGCAGCAGAAATAATCAAGAAAGCTGAACTTGGCAAGCTGAGTTGATAACCACTACTTATGTATTGTTTTCACATTAAAGACCTTTTATTTTTAAACCTACATTTTAAATTTGAAGAGTTTGTTTCTTCCAAGTTTTATAATGCTGCCTTTATAATGGTGAAAGGGTATAAAAATTTAAAGTCACAAAAGGCGTGAGTCTGAGATATCTGACTTTTCACCAGAAAAATATTTAAAGTTGTAACTCAATATGTCAGCCATGTATCTCATAGCTATTAACAATGTATGCATTCAGCTTATTGTTTTTGTTAACTTTATGACTGTATAATTTTGGTATTGCTGAGATGCAGGCAGGATAATTTTTTTCTTGAATTGCTTCTTACCCTGTAATCAAGCTTAATAGAACATTTTATGGGATTTCTGGTTGCCTAACACTTTAACTGTACTAACTAGGTTGTAATATCATTTTAGTATCATCTGTTAACTCTTTGAGTCCAAGGGGGTTTAGCATCACAGGCCCAGGGGGTAGTAAAGAAAGTAATAAAATTGGTGCATCATGCTTTCATTGGGCTTCTAGGTAGGAACTTATGAACGTATGATGCGTTCCTTGGGACTCAAAGAGTTAAACATAATAAACCATTAAATATGATTTGGACATCATAGCCTAGTTTATATAAAGTATATGTGTTATCTTGAAAAAGTTGCACAATAAAATTCATCTCATGTTCTATATTGTACCAGATATTCATAAAATGGACCTGCTTTTAATTTGTGCCCAGCTACTACAGACATAAAGGGAGTCGCTGTGGCGGAGCGGCTAGATGCTCCACGCAGATCGGAAGGTCATGGGTTTGCTCCCTGGCAAAGCCAGACTTTTTTCAAAAAAATGACCTTGGATCCCAGGTCGACCCAGCCTTGAGTGGGTACTGGGTGCAGTCCTCGGAAGTAACGGCGGCCGACGTGATGTTGACCACATCACCCATCTTGTGCTGATTGGTCTATAAAATATAGGTCTAGTCCTATACACCTAAAGGCGTGGAAAACAGTCCTTTACTTTACTTACTACAGACATAATGTATGTGACTTTTGACAGGAGCACTGCCACAAAAAATTTGAGAGCGACGACAGAAGCAGTTACTTTGCACTGCAGTCATCCATTGGTTTGACCTGTGTGGAGAATAGGTCTAAAGTGATATAAAGACAAAGTTTAATTTTAAAGCGATAAAAACAAAATATATTGTTTCATTTTGTAACCCAAAAATATATGTTTTCTAATAAGGAATGTAATCACTAAATACAACGAAGCAAAGAATGAACTGCTTTCACTTTGACCACGAGAACGGGATTAATTGACACAACTATGGGGAGGAAAAGGAGCACACATGGGAATGCCCCGAGTGTTGTGGTGTCAGTTCTGAACTCAATTCAATGGGGAGGAAAGGAGCACACATGGGAATACCCCGAGTGTTGTGATGTCATTTCTGAACTAGATTCAATGGGGAGGAAAGTGACATCTTAACAAATTCATTGTGATGTCACAAAATACCTCCCTCCGAAAAAAATACTTTATATAGAAAAACCTGTAAGTGTCGTAAAAAAACAACTTTCTCAGGGTGGCAGAGTTAAATATATTTGCATTGATGCCTGGATTGGTATGCACAATAGCAGAAAAGGAAAATGTGAGTTCATTCTGTTCTGTTTGTTTTTTGTTTTTGTTGATATTTTAAATTTAAATGTTCACTTAAGACGGCTTGTTTTCTTCTTTGTTAATGTTTTCAAATGTTCATGATTTTCACTAACCTTTATCCAGTTCTTCCCCTTATAAAAACAACAAACAGATAAAACTGTCTATAATCAAATATTGCCACAAAAGATAATTGTGATATTTTGTTAATGTTTAATTTTTTTAAAGAAAAGAAATAGTCGCCGTGCCCGAGTGGCTAGACGCTCGCCACGGATTGGAAGGTTGTGGGTTCGCTCCCTGGAGGAGTCAGAGTTTTTTCAAAAATGACCTTGGCTCCCAGGTCGACCCAGCCTTGAGTGGGTACAGGGGTGGAGTCCCAGGAAGTAAAGGCAGCTGGCATGATGCTGACCACATCACCCATCTTGTGCTGATTGGTCTATAAAAATATAGGTCTAGCCCTATACGCCTAAAGGCGTGGAAAAGGGTCCTTTACTTTTTATTTTTTTTTTATTTTACAATATACAGTTAAACATGCCAGGCAATGAATTGTGCAGTGTGTTGTTTGTGTCCACATTATATAAATTTATATAGATGCTTTAAAATTTACACTGAGGGTTATAATTGATACATTAAATTGTCAACTTTGTCATGCTATTTTCTAATAGTTTTGATCTTTACCTGGAAGCAAACAAAAGGTGAAGTAATAACTTGATATATTTCTGTTGTTAACATTGATTTCAAAAGACATGATTTACTTTAGAATTATATCCAGTGCTGTGTTTTCATTTGTGAGTGAATATTAATAAAACCTAATTGTAGTTGAGAATATTACTGTCAGTACAATTAAGATTAGCTATATCTGTGTGTGTACAGCTCACTGTTTGCTTTGCTCAAGCTCAAATGACCCACTTTTTACAAATGTGTTCACCATTTTAAATACCAGTTGTGCCAATGTTAAATTTCTAAGAGAAAATAATTTTGTATTTGTAAACAAAATATTTACTTGTGAGGCAGATTACTTGAGCACAACCATCTGTAAATTATAACTAAGATGCATCTAAATAATTCAAAAATTTTATATACTTAAGTTTCAGTGCAACATTTTTAAAATAGTGCATAAGTCATTAGCAATAATTGTTGGTTAATGCATTAGTTATTGGTTGTTGCATAAACCATTTGATTAAATAAAATACAATATACATTTTTGTTTGTACTCTCTAATGTCATTAGTCCTTTCTCAAATCTGTATTTCCGGGAAGGCTAACCCGGTCAACAAATGCCTGCAGAAGTCGGATGTGTTGGCCGAAAGGTGCAAATATCGCAGCCATGCTGTAAATGGACACAACGCAATTACATCTTCGGATGAAACGCAGAAGAAGAAGAAAATCTGTATTTCTACTTGAAATACACATGTCCAAACTTTTTAATACTCTTAAAGACTTTCTTTAGTATTGAACATCACTTTGTTACCCTTGACAATTGCCTCTGTTTTAAAGGCAAATGTTACAAAGTTTATATATATATAATATATATATATCATCATGTGTGTGTTTTATTTTTTTTAATCACTGTGACATGAAGCATCTGTTTTTATAATATCAGAGTTGTTTAGCAGACTGCTTGTGAATGTATGATAATTTTTTTTTTTTTTTTTTACCCAAAGACCATATCTAAAGGCAGTAAAGAACAATTATCATTGAGTTAATTTACCAAAGTTTTCTTTCTTCTGAATTTTTTTTTAATGTTTTGTTTTTGCACAATAATTTTTATTAAAACTAGACGTTTTTATGTAACCGATTCAATTCTGTGTGTCTAAGATAATTAATTTTATTGGGGGGCGATGATCAGTACTTCCCATTTTTAATAAAACAAAATTATTTTTTATTTAATTTTGGTAGATTGGGAGCTATGATCACAAAGTCGCTAGATGCTCGCCTGAAAGCTTAAAGGTCTTGGATTTAAATCCACATCAAGTGGGATTTTTTAAAAACATGACCTTGACTTCCTGGTTGACAGGGCCTAAAATGGGTCATAGGTAAAATGCTGAGAAGTAAAGGCAGCCGGCATACTGTTGACAGGATCACTCATCGAGTGCCAGCTGGTCTATACAAATATGAGTCTGTCATGATGTGCCTCTGGTGTGTAATGGGTCCTTAATATTTTTTAAAGACTTATGAGTGGTTGATTATCTAAACTGCTAGGGCTGTGGTCATATGTGGAGCAGTTTAAGCATTGTAACGCCTCAGGGAGCCGCAAACCTGGCACTTGTGTAGGTATCATTTCCCAGAGGGTGCTGCTTAACCAGCATTTCTTCAGCGACTTGTTTATGAGACACTCAGCTGATGCCATTGGCTGAGTTTGCACCTGCACAGAGTTTAGGTCGTCAAGCGAACAAGTTCATATTTTTTTTTATAAAACACTTAATTGTGGAAGAAATAATGTTAGACAAATATTTGTCCTCAACAAGTAGTACTCTTCAGTAGTGTCAGTATGATCTGAAAAAATGTATAACTCTAAGTTGAGAAGGTTAAAGCAACCCTAGAGCTATGCAGGTTGGCAAATTAAATCTGAAGCTGTCATGTTAATCTAATACCTTTGGATCCTAATTGGTGATTGCACAAATTGTGATGTGACCAAGTCCTTTACCTGGTAGTGAGGTATTTCACTTATCATACTGAGTTTTCAGTACAATCTGTATAAAGGTTTAGCAGTAGAATAATAATTGGTAGAATTTCTTACAGTAGTCATGACAGTGAAATTTATGAGAAAAGATGCAGGAGCGACTAGAAGAGTTAAAATCAGGGATAAAAGGTGTATGAGAAAAAGTTATCATAGAACCAAGACTAAATCACATACAGAGACAACAAATACAATAGTTTGCCTACTTAGAGAGAATGTCTTGTGATGCCCTACAATACAAGGCATCTACCAATAGAGGAGAAGGACATAGACCATGGGGTAGACCTAGAACAATATAGAAAGATAACATCGGAGACACTCTGCAACAGTACAGTTTAGCTATGGTCAAGGCAGCTAGAAGAGCAAGAAACAGAACCTTTATGTATCCCTCAGTACCTGAAGCAGTGAAAGAGTAAGCGAGGAAGAGAACTTGCTCACAGAAACAGAGGTTATGCTTCAGTTCCTAGCAGGAGCCAGATCTTTCAATTTCCAGGAACACTGTTAGGAATTGTGATGAGAAAAGGAGCACTGAAGAATATTGTAACGACTGGAAAGATTACTGGTAGAAAAGGCAGACCAAGAGAAATTATTGTGGTTGCCTTAAGACAGTAGCATGGTGGAATATCATCAGTAGATTTGATCCAGAACACCAAAGACAGAGATCTACGGTGACGCATGGAGGAAT